TGTTCACAGCCTGGCCAGTTCACCTGGCGTCGTAGCCGAGTCACAAATATATGGCTATCTCCACCCACTTCGAGGTGCTAAGCTCTTCTCGTTCTTCTCGGCCAGTCATCGTCCAACGGCTTGTCACACACGTGGACCTTCAATTCTGCTGCAATGTTGCAGGTTAATGGGGGCACCATTCGGACAGCAGCGCACAAAAGAAAGACGTTCTTCTTTTCGATCACTCCTGCTGCCTGCTCCCAAACCACTGGTGCCACAGAGCTGGCACAACTTGGCACGAGCGTCACGAGATGGAAGGTCTTTCGCTACAGGTGGACACTACATGGTGGATGCTACAAACGCTACCAGGTGGTTGGGGTCACGACCCATCTTTCACATCCAAATAGATCGAAAATTAAAAAGACCCCCAAATAGATCGAAAAAGCAGAATTCCTACACCAAAAGCTCTTGGACACCGTTTGGTCCTCTCTATTTGGGGACCACTTCAAAAAGTGTGTCCGTCCACCCCGCCCCCAGCCCTTGGGCCGCTTCGCCTCCGCGGTGGCCGGAAGCTTCGCCTCAGCGCATCGGCAGGTCGGCGAGGAAGCGACGAGTCCGGAGCAAAGGGCATCACTACATGGAACAAGGAAGCTACGAACGGGGCTCCTGGCCTGACCAAAATAGGAAGTTCTTTGCATTTGCATCGGAAGATCCAGGTAGATATGAAACCAAACTTGGGGGATTGTGCCAGACGAAAACCTCCGAAACCACTGCTTTGCTCTGACTCCCAACATCACATGGAAGAGTCCCAATGGCCATGCCTGTCACTTTGGAACCTGTGTCATTGACCTGATGCTTCGAGTGGGCGATTCTCTTCACTCTCATCATGGCTGGACTCATGGCCCAAACCCTGGACGCCCATCATCCACGGCGGACGCCACAATTGTTTTGCCCTGTCAAGGGTGAATCCAGTTCGGCCCTTCTCCTTTATCAGCGTCTAATTGTTGTGTGCTTGGCACTCATTTTCTCCATACAAATACGGAGTATCGGTAGTTGGGTCGGTCCCTATCAGTGGCGCACAAACCTGGAGATGATGAAAACAGTAGTCTCACAATCACTTTGTCGCACTCCAGAATCCGTGGTGCAGGCACCCGAAGTTTGTTCATCAAAAACATGCGATACGAGTGCACCCCACTCAGTATTTTTGGTAATGTTCATATGGTTTAACCTGAGAATATGTGTTTCACACATCTTTTAAGCCCATGCACCAATCCATTTGGGGGTAGTGGCTGGTGCCTGCACAAACATCGGCCAAACCAACTGCAGAACGCTGAACTATGTTGCTGTCTTGCACGTGAGGGACAACCAAAATCGTTCCCCTCCGGCTGAAATTGACGCGACAACTTGTTTGTTGGTACAATGCGGTACTTCTATGGAGTTGGTTGGAAAACCTTGCGAAGTGGCAAGAATGTGGGCGTTGGTGCCTTGTGGATGGCACGTGCCCGGCAATGATCGAGGTGTCACTGTTGGTTGGGTTTCCCTGGGTTTCGCCTCGCTGAAACCCAGCAAGCCTCTCAAGCACTTCAACTGGTTCTCGGTGTGATGGCCAGCCCAGGCTTTTGGTTTTTGATTGCCACGGCAGTTAAGCTAAGAGCCCATCCAACGATCACACGCCTTCCAAAGTTCCAAAGCATTTCCCTTGGAATATGGCCCGTTTGGAGCTTTCATCTGTCCGAGTCTCTTGGATGTGCCTTTTCTAGGATCCCTTCTGCCAACCCCCTTGGTTAGACTTGGGTGGGAGGAAAGAGGGGGCCCACTTCATTTTCAATGCGTGATCATGATCGTTGAGCGCCACAACAAGACCTTACTCCAAGAGTAAAGCTGAAAAACAGGCATGACCTTCCGACTCATGGCCTTGGCCATGGGCTCAACCAACCCGGGATCTATCTTTGCAGGTCAGGTGGCATGTCTCCTCTGGGGGCTGGGCGCCTGGGCCTTCAATGATCACCGCACTATCCGGCCCCACGTGCTGAAACAGCTCTCTATCATTCGGTAGGGGGATTTGTTTTGAGGTCGAAGTGGCTGAACCTGATGACGTTTGCCTACCCGGCTTTCCTCAAGCTGCACAAACATCAGCCACGCACTATCCTGAACTACGTAGTGATTGGAGTTTGTGCCACGTGGTGTCTGAGTCTCTCGGATGTGACCATCTCAAGATGGAGGGGTGCAAGGTCCATCAGGTATCCACAAGCTTGGTTAGACTTGGGTGAGAAAGATGTGCGAAGTCCCTCAAAAAGCAGTTGACCGTTGACCCCTGCCCTGCCCCTCCGGAGCTCCCAGCCAGCTCCATGGGCAAATAATCTCGATAGGCCCAAACCTGGCGCCGTTTCCGCGGAACCCGCGCCGTGAAACCACATGACCGTGATCCGAGCTCCGTGAGCTTTCACGACGGAGGGTTGAGCTTTTGAGCTTTTCATTGGGAGCCGCGCTCAGCCGCTCTCCGCCCTCCTGCCCAGTCTCGCTCACTGCAAACAGGCTGCAAGGTCGGGTCTTTTCTTTTGAAGCGAAGGGCGGTCTTTCTTCACCCTCACCGTGAAACCGGACCTGCATCTTCTGCTTCCTTCTGCTTCGTCCCGAGCTTGAGTTCAGATTCAGATGAGTTGAGCGTGGCAAAGAACCATTCTAAACCCTTCACACGACTCAGCCCATCCAGAATTCTTCATGAACCTAGGTCCGATTGTCCTGCTTGGTCCTGCTTTGTGTGCATTTCGAGTCGGTCTCAGCCACACAGTCACACACTCACACACACATACACAGCACGGAGGAGGCCCCAGTGCAAGCTCAATTCCAAGATAGCATACCTTTTGTGAGCCACGCGGGGGTCAAATTTAAGGTAGCAT